TCGTTGGCTTAATGGCAGTTAAGTGCGCTGATGTAACTAAGGCCCATGGGCTAGCTGAGGTTTTCATTCGTCGGTTCGTAGAGCTTCAACTTGTGCGCTTTCCAGCTTAATCCCAAAGGACCCAAATCAGACGCTGAATGTCTAAACAGCAATACTGAAATGAGCAGGAGCGGGTGTCGAACACCGCTTAGGGCCGGTTGCACCAACTTCGCTTAGCGCAAAGCGGAGCTTAGCCGGGAACTTAAGCTTAGTTTCGGTTTCGTTCGGTTGCACCAAACTCGCTTATCGCTAAACCTAGCACTAAACTACGCTTAACTTAAGCGCTCAACATTGGGCGCTTTGCTTCTGGTTGTTTCTTAATCCTGGATTAAAAACATGGCGGCTGGTTCGTCACGGTCGACGCGGTAAACGAAATTGGTTGTGCAAAGTGTTTTAGGGTACATCAGCGTGAAAGTCTCGACAAAATGACTTTCGATTGTGACAAGGATGCAAAATATTGTCGCGTGAAGTGTTGATCGACCCCTGTTTTCAAGTTGGCTCTCCACTTTCAGGGCGTGTTAGCCCTAACCGAGAAACGTACGGAGCTGTGGGGCTCACGTCTGTATTCCCGTTGGTTCTTCTGTCAACGAGCTTATTCGTATGTACTTACTAATTTTCGCATAGCTTTAACGTATTGTTATTTACCACCTTGTTTATTTACACTTGCAGCGCGTATCCTTCAATCTGATCAGCGCGTTGAATAGTGGCAGTACATGATCTCGGCGATCAGCTGATTGTCGACACCTCTGCCGTTTGCATTAGATTGCGGCGCTTTTAAGTAATAAAACAGCGAACATTCAATTTCTTTCGTTTTCTGAGTTTTGAGACAATCTTCAGTGAATTTTCCTTATCTCGCGAGTAGAATCTTGGCTTCAGAAAACTGTATCGTTCCATAACTGTAACTTTTTTGGTGATCGCATTTTTTTTTTTTATATACTTTGCTTTATATCTTTCATTCGTTTCCCGAGAACGAGATACTGTTGTTTCCGAGTTGTGCTCTGTGATGGTGTTTTCCCTTTACTTTTGTCGTTTGTTGTCATTGTGACGATGGTTGAGACTATATACCGGAACACGTTTTCAATAAAATTCAGTTGAAAGTTGCGCCTTGTTGTGTCCTCCGTAACTTTTTTGGTGATCGCGATTTTTTAGGAATATTTTGCTTTATATCTTTCATTCGTGGCGACGACAAATCGTAACGACTACTATGTTAGATTCGGTCATTGCTGTATCGGGGCAGGCTGGGGCAGGTGATGCGAAGAGACGACCGAATTCTTATCGGCGCGATGTGATGTACTAGTGGGAGTTTTTTTTTTTTTTTTCTGAACTCGACAGTGTGAGACTGAAGTCCGTTTGAGGCTGCAGCGGATGTTCAACGACGGTACAGTGCAGTTCTGTCACCTTGTTGATAGCAACGAGTACCGTCGATGCAAGGTCTCGTGACCTGACCTCTCGACGACTTCTATTCGACGATTTCCGGGCATTTTCGCAGCTGCCGTGGCGAGTTCGTCACTGATTTGAATTTCATCGGTCTCAGGCTTGACTTGGTTTTAGTAGTCATCTTACCTGCCTACTTATATCCATGATGTTTTGTCTTCAGCGATGTAGTGAGTAGAGTGTCCTTCTCGCGTTCGGTGAGTTTTGGGGCCCCCGATGGCTCCTTCGCCTCAAAATGTGAGCACGAAAACTACTACCACTGTCAAAATATCCTGTTATCAACCGATATTAAACACACAATCACAGATGTAAAGAGCATTCGTGTTTATTTGAAGCTTTGACTTCTGTTATTGCAAGTTAAACGAAAAAATGATTGAATTTGGAGACCTTTAATTTGTTACTCACCGAAGAAATACAGCCAAAAGGCGCCGACGACGACTACTACGGCAGTTTATCTTTTTTTGTTTTGTTTACATCACGTGATTCCTCTCCGCCAATCGTATTCGTCGCTCTGAGCGTTCCCTAGTTTGCTCTGTTTGTCCCTAGATTCCCTACGCAAATCCAGCGTTTAGCTAGGGGCGCGTCTGTAAAGCCGGCTTAACCTTGGTGCAACCGGAATTTAAACCCGTGCTTACCTAAGCTCGGTTTAGGGCGCTAAGCCGGCTTAGGAAAGCGCCGCTTTGGGTTAAGCTAAGCGACGTTGGTGCAACCGGCCCTTAGTCGCGCCCACTGCAGGTGCAGGACAATATTGCGGCGAGCCGGCTCTGCCTGCGGGAATGCTAAGGTGGGTACGTACATTTATTTCGATTGTACACCCTCCAGTCTCCGTTGAGGGGCAGCACGAGACACAGAGCCCTGCTGCACCCTTCGGCCAGGACGAGGAAGGCGAGCAGCGGCTGGAGGCCCATGCCCATGGTTCGGGAAGCAAAGCGGGAGTCAAGCCGCGGTCAGAACAGCGCGCTCGACGAAGACGACGAAACCCGCCCGCCCATGTCGCGTGCGGCGGCTTCTTCCTTTTTGGTCGGGTTTCGCTCCACCCAGGTTTCTGTGGCAATGAACTCAAACCGTTGGGTGCCCGTGCGCCCGCGCACTTTGAGCGCCGTCATACACACTCTTCACTTTTGAAATGCCGCAGAAAGTTTTCCTTGGGTGATTATACTCCAGTCATAAAGGCTTATTTATACTCCGGTCATCCTTAAGCTGAGACTATAGAAGCTCCATCTCCAGCGCCAGCTTTCTGCCCTTAGTAAAACAAGTATGAACGTGCGGGCACGCGCAACCAAAGCACTGCGGAAGCGACGCTGAACGCGAAGCTTGGGGGGATCGGTGGCCGAGTGGTCTAGCGCACACCAGCTCGGAGCACGTGGAGCGAAAGCTCGCGCTGCAGAACCCAGGGATCCTGGGTTCGAGCCCCACCCCTGCCCGTTTCGATCTGGATGAGCATCGTACCGGCGTGCGGTCGTGTATCACTACTGCGTGATGCACGTTAAAGACCCCAGGCTAGCGGCTGTACCGCACTGGCTAAATTTCTCATCTACAGCTGGGAGACTCGTCGCCCCTGTGAAGCAGACCAAGTTCTAGGCTGTATAAACACACACACAACCCAATTTTTTTTTGAGCGCGAAGCTTCTAGTCTCAGCGTAAGGTGAACGGAGTTGAATGCACTCAACTATAGTCTTCTACAAAGTGAACTTCGCCTTTAGTGTCATTACTGTAGTGCACGGCTTTTTCCTGGAGAACACACTTGGCTTCAAGTGAGTTTGACGAACTCACTTCAATCGGCCGAGTGCGTGGCCTCGATAGCTGTTTTTCACCTGTAAAACCTAACAACACAGAAACCAAAAACGTGACGTACATTTTAATTTAAAAAGAATTAAAAATTCGCCAAAGAGAACACAGAAAGAAGTATCACTAAAAAAAAAGTGGCGTGGACATATCTTTCTAGTTCAGTCTGAAAAAAAAATTGTTGCTAGTTGTTTATACAGCGGGAGTTTAGTCTACCAAAACATGACGACATTGTTACCCACTGTAGAAAAGCAATGTAGCCAGTGCAGTACAACCGCTAGCATGGGGTCTTTAACGTGCACCACGCAGTAGTGATACACGACCGCACGCCGGTACGATGCTCATCTATAGTCGGTGGCAGGTCAAGAAGGAAATGGAAGTTTCTCCCACCCCTTTCCGCTTCAGCGGAGCGAACGGTGGAGAGGAGGTCGCCTTCTCTCCAGAGTTTGATCTTCTAAAGTGGAAAGAGGTAAGAGGAGCTTCCACTTCCTTCTTGACCTCTCACCGACTATTAGCGATAAGGTATTTTGGTGGCGCCCTCCTATGCTTTCCTCTCGTGACGTCGTTATCTTGCGAGCAACAGGTTCTATGGTGTTTGTAATGAGCACGGTGTAAGTTTGAAATCCTTGCGCTCTAATACCAACGCTGTTAACGCGGCCAAAATTAAAGTTATTCCATTCCTCTTATTTCCATTTAAGATAAATTGTTTGCTGACGTCATTGTCAGCATTTTGCCAATTGTGAAGGCCGATCACGGCCCTTGGTTCTGCAGTGTGAGCTTTCGCTCCACGTGCTCCGAGCTGGTGTCACCTTATGATGTACCGCAAAGAAGACTGCAAGCGCGAGCTCCTTGCTCTGGGGCACATCTTGGCAGCACAAGCATTCGTGCATTAAGGGCAGCTGCCAACGCTGTGAGCTCGCGCTTCTAGCCTTCGCTGCGGTACAGCTTCATACGCGCCAATTTGTAGCGGAGTGGACACCGACCCGTGTGGCAGGATAAAGGCACTTTACTTTGGGTCGCCCGAGAACTGCACTCCGAAGACTGTTCTTCATACGCGCCAGGATTCGAATCTCCCAATTTACGTGATCATGTACCTGTACGTCTTAGCATGTTGCTCTATGAGACAACACGATAATCACTATCTAACAAAGCAGTGTCAGGGTCTCCTCGCATACTTCCGTGGGACGAAAGTTGGATCTTCTTTATCTTGGCTTACGATGATCGATCAGAATCATTCGATTGGCGTAAAGATTGTTCATTAACGTAACGTTGTTTTGTAACCTGTCGCTATTAAATGGACCAAATATTGCCGAGACATTTAAGCTATGATGATTTTGGACGTGTGGCTAGATTTATTGGGGAAATTGACGACACGGGGGACCTCAACAGCAATTCGATTCCCCGCTAAATTTAGGGGGAATTTAATTGCTGTTGAGGTCACGTGACGTCAATTTCCCCGCTAAATAAAGCGGCAAATTGAATTGGTGCTGAGGTCGCGTGACGTTAATTTTCCCGCTAAATTTAGCGCAGGCGACGCCGACGCCGCGAAACACGGAAACAAGCTCCTAAGTACTGCGCCCTAAAATAAGAAAAAAACAATAATGTGATACAAAGTGTCATCGTCGCACCGGTCAAAGTGAGGAGCTCGAGTTGAGAACAGAAAAATAGTAAATAAAAAAAAAGTTTATCGTGGCACAGGATAGTTTGATCTCAAGAGCCTTCTGGAACTTGGACATGCGAAGTTTGCATCAACGCTTTATTTGGCACAATATACTCGTTGCTCCCTGGTTATTTCTCGTGAGAGTTTATTTTGAATGTACACGTAGAAACATTACAAACAATTCAGCGCGGTCCCAGCGATTTTCACGCAGACACGTCTATATACACAAATCGGCAGGTCCTTCTCCTCAACGTGACATGTCTGAGCAGACTTCAAGCGTCGTCGTCTCTTCGCATCTTCTCGTAGAGAGAGGCGATCTCATCCATGTCCATGTAACAGCCCCTCAGAATTCTGGAAATAATGACGGTCATGGTGAAGGCACGAAAAGACTTTAAAACATGCGTTGTAACATATCAGCTGCGCTTATTATTATTATCTTTTATTATGGAGGCAGATCTCGAGAATGTTTAATCGTTTCAAACACGTTGCTTGAAAAGTCTGATGCCGCTGTCACACTGCTCGTATACATCACACCAAAAGACACGGAGTTTCTCCGCAGACATGATGACAGAAATATCCGCGGAGACGCCTTTCATAAGTTCGAAGACTGTTTTCTTCATACAGATGTATTCTTCTAAGACGTCTGCAGACAGTCTTTGTGTTATCAAACGCTTGTTTGATAAACTGCATCCGCACGTGTCCGCGTACGTTTATAGAGATTCATGCGCGCTGTCGGTTTATTATGACTGTGTTATGAAGTATGATTATTCGATGTGCTACAAAAATTAAGCGGACTCGAAAATCATTTTAGAAATTTCGCTTCATGTGAGTGATTTTAGCAACGTACATGTCTTTCTGTTGCGGGTCCAGTTCCTTCATGCCGTGAAGGATTCGTCGGTTGTTGAAGGCCACCAGGTCTCCGGGAGCCATGTGGAAGGCATATTGGCAAGATTCTTCTTCCATTCGCTTGGTGAACGTTCTGGAAGAGTAACATGACATCGTCGTACGGGCTTTCAAACCTCACGAGGTATCGGTACGTTTTCGTGAAATTTATTTGTTCCACCGAGGACGAGGCATAAAAGAATTGTAGCATAACTCCAAATGGCAAGTTCTGTTTTGTTACTCTCCATGCGAATAAATGCGGAGCAGTACTGAAGCGAAAAAGAGCTTGAAAGTACTATAGATGACTGTGAGATGAAGCACTTTCTTATATTTTACCCAAACAGAATTTTATTACTCTATTTTGTTTTGCATTCTTCGTTATACATTTTATCTGTATTTCTTTTTTTATCAAACTTTAGCACGATAATAATAAGTAATGAGCAGTACAAGATAAGAGAAATGCTTTATTTAAAATTATTTTACCTTTGCGTTTAGTCTGCCTTGTTGTAACTAAACTGCACCAGTATCTCATTATTATTGCCTATTCTCGTCCATAATATTGAGATAGCAACATGTTATAATAGGCAAATAACGTCACTATGCGAAACGGTAATGTCACTTGCGCATGAACACAGCTGCCGTACTTTAAAAAATTCCTGGCTTATACCTGCGCTCTTAGAATTCGGGTTTAGATGTCAGACCTGCTCCCCTGTTATCACAGGATTTTCTGAGCCGCCCATTTATAGCGACATGTTTTGCAGCGCGCACACATCAAGGAGATTCGAACTGACTTGGCGACTGACCCGTATGCCTCATAGAACTTGGTAGCGTCGCTTGGCGACAGCAGAGGTGGCCGCATCGAAAACGTGCTGTAGTGGATCTTCTTGATTTTGCCGTAGTCGTTTGTCCGGATGATGGGAAAGGTGTCGCGTAACCACACCTGCAAAATAAGTACGGCACGTTTCGTCTCTATTGGCACGTCTCTGCGAGCCTACCCCATCATTGTTGAAAAAGCAATCTAGAAAATATGCCCGTGGTAGCGAGCCAATTGTTTTCTAAGAATGTAAAACATATTCGTTTCTAGTATAGTGCTTTTTGCTGTGCCTTGCGTTGTATAGTATATTACATAATTATACGAAGCTTTAGATACGACTTTAAAGAGTAATAAAAGAGAGGACGTTGGTGTTCATTAAACTGAATTGAAAAAGATTTCGTTTGGTCTTGTTTACTTTGTGTTTACGACATTGGTTGAACTTCTCGCTCATGCTGATTTCAATGTGAACAGGCACTGTACCGGCATATGGTCATACAATCAAAACAGCGTTATGAACGATAAGGGTCAAGTTCAGCGGTCCTACTGCATTGGTCAACTTTATCCTTTATAGCGGAGGCACCAAAAGTCATTTTAAAGCAAACTTTTTTTGCCGTGCAAACTACCACGCAGAAATATGACTTGTTACTGTGAAAACCTTTCCCAGCGGCACCAGCTTCTTCGTTGTTACAGATGTTTACAAGCTGAGCGACCACGAAGAGGGTCTGCTAGATATGGGAATGTATAAGACTTTCATAATTCATCAAATAAAACGCTTCCATGAACAAAGGATCAATCAAGAAGCCTCAACTGTGCTACTTTTCGGCATTTGTCGCCTCTTTCATTGTGTGAACGCTGCCTAACAGAAGTTCAGAGCACGTCTGGCATGGCGCATTTAATCTGCGAGTGCGAGTTGCTCTTATGATCACCACAGCTTAAAGTAAAACTGCGTAAATAGCACAAATATCAACCACGTCGCGCAACGCTAATAATGGAACAAGAATGACGTACCCCTCGACGAGAGTCGTAGTACGAGAACGTCACAGGTGTGGAGACGAGGAGCCTGAAGTACTCCGGATGGTTGTACTTCATCCACTGAGCAATGTAGAAGCCGTCCACAAAGAACGTCTTGCCTCTGTCCGGAGTTCCGGTCAAGGTCTGCTTGGGCACGTCGGAGGAAAGGCAGAGGAGTAATTTCACACCTGCGGAGCACAATTTGCAACCGTATATCAAACAGGGGGAGGTGGACTTTGTATATAGGCCCACAAACTTTCAAACACGCCCCATTTCCTGCGTAAAAAGTCGCTAACTCGATGGAAAAGCGATAAACGTCCTACTTAGGGTGCCTACGAGTTTCCGCCGCTCCGCTGTTTAGGGTGGAGACAACGTTCGTGATACCTGTTGCCCACAAACCGGTGTTGCCTACCTGGTTATCATGGCAACCTCCGCTGTCTTCGTCGACCATTTTGTCACACTCGCCGGTCGTGCGCTCGTACTACGCCGCTAATCCTCGTTAGGGCTAGGGAGCGCTCACCGCTCTCGTTCCGACGGCGAGGTTTCGGCATGCGATGCCGGTCTATTGCGTTCCATTTTGTCGAGGGGACTCACGTTTCGATAAAAGCAACGCATACTTCCTGCTCGCAACTTCAAAGTATGAAACACCCGAATAAAGAGAGCGACAGCCACGACGACCGCCATCCCGCTGAGCCTCCGACTCCTCTTAGGGCTCATTCACACTGGAAGCGGATCCGCGTTCGCAAAGCGGTTGCGAACGCGGTTGTATAAGGATTCAGTACAATTGCACGCGCATTAGATGATATCAAGTGCGCGCGCAATTGTACTGGATCTTTATACAACCGCGTTCGCAACCGCTTCGCGAACGCGGATCCGCTTCCAGTGTGAATGGGGGGTTATGAACGGACACGGAAGTGGCCTCACAATGTTGCCGGTGTGTCGAGACTACAGAAACTCAACGTTGTTTACGCTTAGCGAAATAAGAAGTGGGAAAAAATGGCGGCGGGAGAGGATCTGGGAAAGGGTAACAAGAAGTTGGCGCCACCCTAAAGCGGAGCGAAAACGTGTAGGCACCCTAGTCCTACTCGTATACTCTATACTTCCTCCAGTTTCTTTCTTTTTTCCCCATTCCTTTCAGTTTCAAAATAGGTATATTAGAAAAATTATTTCGAGATATTGTATAACCTGTAGTATGCTGGTATACTAACATGCTTCAATACTCTACTTCACAATATAGGCTGATTCACACAGTTTGGCTTGAGTGCGATCGAAAGCCACGTGCTCACTTGTAACCACTTTCGGCGAAAGAAAGAACACACTGGCACACTGCGTCATCCGTCCTAGGATCCTAGCTCCTCTCGAACTACCGAGATAAAGGCTTTTCATGGCGATTCGAAGCAGATGCTGTCCAGAGTCATAAACAGAAGTGAAGCACGTCTCCATCGTTCGGACACGTGCAGGTGCGGGTCCGCATCTTTATAGACGTGCGCCTCGGTGTACGCTGAGATTCCCAGCAATAACCCGAGAGGCTGCTAACTCGTATTCACCTCAAGAACCGTGGAAAAAAAAGAAAAAAAAAGTTCGGCTCCTTGCGTAACGTTACTGCTCTTCATCCGTTCAATTGGGATATATGTAGGTGCATCTTAGATTAGCTTTATATAATTTTATCGAGACCAACAAATTTCAAACGCCGAAATAGTCGTTTTTTTTTTCCTTCGAAACCCAAATTTTGTAAGAACAACTTCGCGCAGCGCACGAATAATGCCTTTTTTTTTGTGACAATGACTATAGTTGATAAAAGGCCATGTAGCAGTCTCTCCTCCATAGTTTTGTTTTATGTTTAGCTGGACTTGGTAACCACCTGGAAAGTCATGTGTCAGAAGGAAGGCGCCCTCGATATAGCGCGTTTTTGAGACATCCCTCGCTGGTTTTGTTGAACGAAATGCCAATGAAAGACTCCAAATGTCCCGAGGAAAAACAAAGTAGTAGCCAAATCAAGGGTAGATATCAGTGTAGTTTAGCATTGTCCAAAATGTTTCGATGTTTCTAAAGCTTGCGTAAACTTTGTGGTGCTCATTTTATTCTCGAACAACTTCAAGAATACAGCGAGGTTAATTATTGGTTGATAATAAATTATAGATATTAGCCACTGGCATTTTCACCACCGAGCTGCGGACATAGTCCTCTCTTCCCGAAGCGTTTAGCAGCAGTAGAACGCTTTGCAACGAGCCCACCAAGTACAGAACCACTGGCGGCGCATCCAAGAGAGGAGAAATGGATTATACAATTTGACATAAATAGCTGAGATCCACATGTGAATGCGTCAAACTCGCTGCCTTCCTTTAGAGCGGGATGCTAGTCTGCATTGAAATTCGACAACATATAGTACTTCGATTCTTGGTCAGTGCAGTGCAACTAACTTTAACGTGCACAGTGCACCACGACTATCACTCGAATGTACACCAATAATGCTCCCACTGATATCGAAACCAGCTGTTGTGTGACTGGGACTCAGATTGGTCATGTCTGCATATCGATCTTTGAATAACATATGAATAAGAAAAAAAAACTGCAAATTGGATCCGTACAAAGAGGAAGGGAAGTCGTCGTGCACACAAAGGGTGGTTCATTTGGTCATATTTTAAGTGCGTGACTTCCATTGTGTTGTAGCGGAGACAAATAGGGAAACCCCCGGACCGAAGGAAGCGGCATCTCGGGCGCTGGCGGACGCACTCACCAGGGGCACTCTCCCGGTCCGGCAGTTCGGTGTGCTGCAGGAACCTCGAGCCCCTGTGGGCGTCCGGCTGACAGGTGGCGTCGAACACGCGGCCCATGCCGGTCTCGCGGATGTAGCCCATGCGACCCGCAACCTTCTGTAGCTCCTCCTCATGTGGAGGGACCCCTGAAATGGCGTGAAATATTCCGCGACGCTTCGTAAGGAAGAACTGGGAAGATCGCTTAGGACAATGGAATTATATCTATAGTCTGTTACAAGGTAAGGATTGCAAGAGACGCTTTGCTTACAAAAGGCAATCATTTGTTAGGGATCACTGTGCAGAACCGCATCGGGCACTGCTGGGGTTTTGGGTCTGTGAACGTCAATCTCGACAAAAAAAGGGACGCTGACGGACGCCCCACTTTTTTAGTGATGTGAGAAAAATTGTGCGTTGAGTAGTAACCTTTGCTCCTTTCTGGGAATCTAAGTAAAATCCTTTTCGGCACTTTTTGCCTTGCAACAACTAACTGAATTATACATATATCCGAACATGAGTGATATCTACTCAAAACTCTCCTTTTTTTTTTTTTTTTTTTTTTTTTTTTTTACGGTAGGAAACTAATATCTCAAAACGTTCGTTGTATTTTTTTTCTTGTTTTAGATACAATTAACTCGAGTATCGGGGACGGCAATATGGTCTCACCGGTCACTAAATCGTGCGTGCTTGTCCAAGCTCAACCACCTGATTCGGAGAAAATCTTAAATTGTTGTGTTTTAATGCAACGATCAATTATTCCGGTACCTGCAGCCGTAAAGTAAACAACTAAAGCGCACGAAGTTGCTTCGTCGATCGGTACAGTGACGACTTCGTGCCCGGGCGGTTATGCAAAAAATGTGTGTACACGAAGTTTGAGCGTACATATAATTCGTCCTTCAGTTGGTCATAGCTAGAAAGCAAAGCGAGCGCTTTCAAAATTTATTTGCTCCGTCCCCAGTTTGAATTGCACGCAGATGTACGACTAGATGAAGCGACATACTCGCCCCAGTAGCCTTGACATCGTTGTATGCACACTATGTGTAAGAAAGCTCGTGCTTTGATGTTTCTGCATTTGCAAAATTTGCTTCGTTGAACCTTTAAAACCTTGTCACTGGTTTCGTCTTGAAAATATTTCTCGCTTTTATCTTCGCTTTTTTTTTTTTTAATAATTAGTGGCCACTATTCATTAGTACACTAGTGTGTTGAAGGTAGGTTTCATTTGTCTATACCTAGAAAGAACTTACCAAAATATTGGGTCTTGTAATTAGAGTAACTGTTTCAGAGCCGCTAACCCTTTGCGAGTATTTTGAACTTAACAAATGGGAAAGTTGAGACTTACTCACCTAGATTATCGGTAATTTTAGTGGGGTTTCTTTTTTGTTTGTTTTTTAATGCATTAGACAATGCGCAGCTGTTAAGTAACGAAGTATTGTGTTTGTAATAATTAAGATTTGTTTAGAAAAGTTTATATTTCTATAATTAGGTCGACATTTTTTTTTTTTTAATTTAGCTACGTTTGTGTCAGCATCTTTGAGCGTTTGCTGTACGCTCGCGAGGGATCGAGCATGGACGGGAAGTCGTCTTCCGCCCCCCGAGCGCGGGGGGCTTCGAGCAGCTGCGGGGCTCGGCAAGGACGAGTCAGACCCCGTCGTTAACAAACAAATTGGGTTTCAGTTTGGGGCGCCGGAACACCCGTGTCTCGGGCAGAGGTACTTCTGTCCGCACTTGTGGCTGTTAAGAGGGTGCGCTTGTGTCCGGTGTATTTCGCCGCTTAGTGTAGGAACTTCGCTTTTAATCGACGCAATAACTTAACTGGGTGGCGCAAGCCAGGCGGTGAGGAAAGCATGTAGTGACTCTACAAAGAATTTGGGTTTGACCGTTGAGGTGTCGGAGGGGGGGGTCACGTTGACAGCTCGCTGATCATTGGGTAAGAGTGTACCACGTGACAACGAGCAAATTTAAAGTGATTGGTCCGTCTCTGGAGAGAAAGAAGGCCCCTACGAGTCTAGAATAGGGGTGCCGAGAGGATTCTCGGGGATTCAACTTTTGAGATCATGGAGATTTGGCTCTTGAGACTGGGGACTAAAGTATGGGTTTTCATTTTGGGAAGTTTGAATTGTAAATTGCTGTTGACCTGGCGTCGTTTTGTTTTGAAATCAACGTGGCCACACTGGCAATTGTAAACGAACCAACGTCGTATTGTGTCCAGCGGGATCGAACAACTTTTTTTTTTTTTCTTATTTGACTTCCAGGGGGACTTCCATCGGGCGAACACCATCATCGGTCGTCACCATCCTGACCGGTCCCCTCCCCTGCGGAAAGTTGACTGCAGGTCTCTATGATGTGGAATCGAACTGCATCGCAGTCGTCTGGGCGGATTAGCGAGCTGTCAGTGGAGACCACTTCATCCCACAGTCGTCTTTGCGTGACGAAGCACATTAACGTCCACGAATAAGTACTTTCGTTCTCGTAATCTGGAATATTTTGCTTTGAAGTGTAGCTTAATTATAAGCGATGTTTCTCATTTAGCTCCATTCTCGTACTAGAACTAATTAAATGGGGACCGAGTATAAGTGCGGCAGCGGAAATATGGCGAGCTGGCCCAGTTTATTGCTAGTCCTAAGTTAGCGAATTGGCCGAGTTGGTAAACGTTATACATTATGAAAACAGCTAAGACGACGAGGACAGCTTCGTCCTGTCGCTTTTGTTTCTTCACTTCGTCTTCGTCGTTTGAGCTGTTTTCATCAAGTCTCATAAGAGGTAAAATGTCACATGGGATGCCTCCGGCATGTAAAGCTATGACACCGACTGCCACATTCCAGCCTTTCAACGGTTTAACCTACTCCCTACGTGACCTTTCTGCTGCCCCGGCAGAAACGCCGCCCGGCCAACTCATACTGGCGGCCCGTATGCATCCATACTTGCTACCATCAAATTTTAACGATGGCTTTTAGTTTTTAGCGATGGCGCTCCATGCTTCCTTAAACGGCATTTTCAGGAGTAAGCCGGGATATCAAAAACGAAAGAACTCTATCCTCCCCATAACGGTCAGGCATGACCACCACTAGCCGATAGGCGGGTTATGTCTAAACAAACTTTAGATATGTTTTACTTGGTAGTGTCTTACCGTGGAGCACCGATATGCCATATTTGACGATGTTCTTGACCATCTGCTTGAGTCCGGACCGATCTTCCATGAACGTCTGGTACTCCAGCTCGGGCGGATTCTCGTCGATCTCGTCCCGGTGCCAAAGGATCGTCGTGGACTTTGTGTTGGTGTAGAACAGATCGAGAACTTCCTTGGCGTTCCCATCCTTAGACTCGAAAAGCTTTCCGAAATCGTAAAGCCTTTGAAAATAAAAATAAAAAATAAAAAAATGTCAGTTGACGTGGGGACACGAACGTGCCGCTTCGTTACAATTATGCAATTTATGCTGTATGCGGGGGGTTACCCGCATACAGCATGAACTTTAATTTTGTTATATCTGACGTAAAAGTTAGAATATTCCTTTCGATTTCATGCTTGAGATTATGCCTTACACTGTCGTAAATCAGGAGGGTGCTCCGGTACGCCTCAGGCAGCGTTGTATAATTTTACTTTTTTATTATGTTGGCGAACTCAACCGCATGAAAATTAAAATAAGGTGAAAAAAAATAAAGATTCCATAAGATTCTTACGAAGCGCTGCCTTTACCACCTGTTGGATACGAAACCATGTTGGCTCTTCAGCAACTGCATTACGTAAGACTTTGTTTATAGATTGAACAATAGTGTCATTTATTCTTGAAACGATGACGTAAAATACGATATGAAGAATACAAAAGAAAATTATACAAAAGTGGGGAGAAGACACAAGAACCAAGAATCAGACACGTATACAGATTTTAAATGAAACGGACATGGCGCAAACAAGTTATAAACGAAATTGCGCTCTATTACATTTCATCCTACAAATGTTACTATACTCGGCGACAACTTTTCTTGGCAATGCAGTGGAAGGTACGTCCCGCGTCCCCTCTCCCATTTTGAGTGTACGCAGGCTCTCCTCCTCTCCTCGGAAATGGGGGAGGAGGAAAGCCTGCGTACACTCAAAACGGGAGAGGGGACGCGGAACGTACCTTCCGCTGCATTGCCAAGAAAAGTTGTCGCGGAGTATAACGATTCTTGTTTTGTCAAAGATCGCAAAGAAACGTTGGGTTTGCATTGTTTTCGTCATAGATGAGATAACAAATGGCTTACAAATTTTGTCGCAAATGTGTACGATGGATTTACGGCTCGGTCTTGGGCCGACGACATCTGCGAGAGGTATGTTGTTATGCTCACCAGTCGCACGAATACGTGCTGGCGTGTTGAGGCCCCTGAGTGCTCTTGGGCCAGCGGACTTCCAGCGTCTCCCCGTCTTTGACGGTCCAGGACAGGGGCTGAATGTTCGGGTCGATCTTGACGCTGCTCACCAGCTTTTGACGAGTCACGGGGTGCACGCACGCTGGACACGTGCAGCTGTCGCGAAGCTGAAAGCGCCAAAACGGTGATCCGAAGGTGACGAGAAAAGTGCAACCATGAGCCTAAATTGCGCATGGCGTGAAGGGCCAATTCTTGGAACTACAAACCCGAGCCCAATAATTGTTCAGATCAACACCGGTGTCTGAAAGATTTGGCGCCGGCGTTCTTTTGAACGCGAAACGTGAAATTTAGTTTCCATCTCAACTACTCAGTAATGATGAGCGTGTCGTTAATGTTACTGGAGCGTGTAAGATTGTAGAACTAATGTTGCCAACCTTCACGTCCTGACCAACTTTTTTATTCGGTATAGCAATATTCGTAATATGTTTGCCTCTTTTCTTTCTCGTAATCTTCTGGCAGCTTGTCAATTTACAATTTACTCTCCCTGGGTTGAGAGCGTATAATATTTTGTCCCAGTCAAAAACAATTCTTCGAGTCAGTCTCAGTTTTGATACACCACTAATTTGCATTTGTCACAGGGCCTCCAGCACAGTATATGAACACCTATACCGCTACACTGTTAGTGTAGCTGGTTGGGCAATTCAGTCAACTAGATCATGTTTTATGCACGATTAACATAATTTGCAACGCTTACTATTATACACTTGTTTTAGCAAAAAGTTTATTCATTCGCGCGAAAAAGCCAGTTGGCAGCGTCTAGTGAACGCAAATATATTTATATCTCAACGCGGTCAGATATGCGCGGAAATTAATTAGAAGTATTTTGTAGTTTGTGAAGGTTCGGTGTGGCCAGCACCAAGACCGTATGGTTGTTCTTGGGAACCTAATAAAATGCATTATTGATTACCTCTGATTACCATTATGACTAATTTTGTAATTCCTCCATTACTTCCTTTGTGACGTAATCAAGTCATATTACAAGAATTATATTATCTAGTAAAAGCGCGGCTTTAGCGTCATCTAAATAGCTCTTTAAGGTACGATTGGGGTTGAGCCAACGCCACACTTTCCAACCCACCATAGTCATCACAGGGAAAAGAGAAGCAGCTACTTACTTCAAGTGCTATCTAATGTAAGCCAGTCCAGTAATATTAAGTCCAGGTTTTTATCTGGTGTATTGTAATTGCAGTTAAGTTTTTGCAGCACGTACAGGATCGAATATAGCTTCATGAGAATGAGTGGGTAGATGGCAAAACAGCACAATTGATTGGGCAACAAACTCGGAAGATTCTAAATCGCATCTTTTTTTCTTTTTTCATTCCTTTGACTTTTCACTTCCTTCTTTAGGCAGGTGGCCGGTCGCACGCACTCTTCGACGTAATCGTGACTCGATAATACATAACTCTTAGCATGCAGCTGGAAGCGAGTCTTGCACGTCCGTCCGCCAGCTTTAGAACACGAGCAACGACCAAACTTTATTTAAGCTCCATGACTTCACTTACATTTCAAAAAGAGACTGGTTCTTCTGGTTTTTCGTGAAAGAAAATTATTAACGTCAGGCTGTGCTGAAACTATGAAGCAATCTTCAAAAAACTCCGCTGATATGGCTTTTCTTTCTTCTTTTTTCAGTTTTCCAGAGAAGTATTAGATGCTTAATTTATTAACTTCAGAAACCGCCGGTAGGGCTGGGGCTTTCTTTAGCTGCCTCGTCGGAACGTGCTTTAAAACAGGAGCTGCTGCCAACTCTTCGCGTTCTACAAACTACATTGCGTATTTTAAAATCATATGTAGGAGTTTTCTTTTACAGAGGAGCTGCTAAGGGCCAGTTTCCCCAGTTTCGTGTCCGTGGACAAATAAATCTCGACTCAACCCTCTGGACACCTACCGCCATCTATGAGCGCCGAAGGCAATCAGACAACCGGCTTGCCGGTTGTCTGGTTGCCGCCGTCGCTTATAGATGGCGGCACGTAGTACAGCTCCACTGCTCTTCCTTCTTCACCACAAAAACAAATAAAAGTTTTTTTTGTTTTTTTTTTAAAGGAAACAAAGCGCATAGACACACAGAAGTTCTGACGCAACTTTTATGCAACATACGTAAAGACACGGGTCACGCATGCCTAAATTTTAATAAAGTTGCAGTCGCGCCAACCGGTTCGCACAATCCACGAGAGTGCTACCAGATGTCGTTTCGCGGATTAACGACGCATTAGATTCTGTAGCATCAAACGGAGAGCCATAAGGTTCACTTGAAGGCCGGCAGATGCCCTGAAACGGCACGACACCTGATTGATGGCGTTGCACGGCCTGCTAAATCGTATATTAGGGAATTTATTATATTCCCGCTAGCGGCGCTGTGTAGAGAGAAAACGTATCTAGGCTAACTCGAAGAAACCCAACTTGTAGCTCTTTACGCAATGAAAGTCTAACCGCACTCTCATATTCTCTGTACGGTCGTGTGTGTGTGTGTGTGTGTGTGTGCATGTGTGTGTGCATGTATGTGCGTGTGTGTGCGTGTGTGCGTGCGGGGTTTCTTTCATTTGCTTAATGAGTGCGCCGATGCGGTCATCGTAATATTCAGTACTTTAGTTACTCGCTTGTTGCAACCGTTAAAATTCAGAAACTTTACTTTTTGAGCATTTTTGCATTTATTCGGATCTACTTTATGATTTAGGCAAGTACGGCTTGCTTGAAGGAGTGACAACCAGATCACGCGCCTCCCCCATGCATTTCACAACCCATTTTTTTTATCTTTAATTGGTAACCATTTTTTTAAATTCCATTTATATCTTTTTTTTTTTTACTTTTGTCAGCAAAAAGTTGCACGACGCGCCTGTTTATGCATCCCACCCTTTATCGTATCTCCTCTCCACGCCAAAAAGATGGAGTAGTCCTCATACTTCCGGCTTTGTGCCGATATCCCATCTCTCACCCGCCAAGTGTATCAGTAAAGAGAGGGCAAGGGTCGGGCCTAAAGCGCTTCACGACACACTCCCAAAACGCAAAGTTAAGATAACCACTAGAGTATACATGGACAACAAACAATAAAGCGGAACGTAAAAAGTAAAGTCGATGACGTTAGTTTTAGAGCTGAGCGGAAACATACCCAGAGGCTGTTGAAGTGGCTCTTGGTGTTGTCAGTAAAGGACACGCAGAGAGTGCTCTCGTTTACGGCTTGAACGTCTTTGATCGCCGGCTTCGGAACGTTTTCTTCGTCGTCCATCTCGGCAAGATCGGATGTGATGGTCCGAACTGTAATAAAAGTTGTCAACAAGTTGAAATTCTGCATTTGGTATGTATACATTTGGTGAGGGAAATCGGCGGCCGATCGAGTGCGTCAACGCACACCGGCATGGATCACGTGTAGCGAAGGCTCCAGCTGCAGAAGCCGGAAATCCTGGGTTCATTCAGTCCCCACCCCTGCTCAATTTGATCACAGTGATCAGAGTTCCGGTGTATGATCGGGTTTCACTACTGCACGATACACGTTGAAGAGAGACACCAGGCTAGCTGTGCCGCTGCACTAGCTACATTTCTCACCTACAGTGGCAACACGCAACGCCCTTTGAGACTGACTAACTTCCAGCTGTTTAAACAAACACACATCACAATTATGTAATTACCATGAATGCGAATGAAAAAGAAAACACTACAAGATCAAGAGCTGTGGCAAGTATGGTGCATGCCATGTAGCCCTCCCGTGTAGTGAAAGCAGTCTCTGCTATAATTTCACGTGTTTTGCGGGAAACCAGGCGCGCATACCTTTTGCCTAGAAACAATGCGAGTTGCAATTTCATGATTTGTTCGCTCTATACTGTCAATAAAAAAGTAAATTATGTTTAAAGCTATTTGGTAAAGCACACCTAGGAGTTTGGGGGGGGGGGGGGTTCATTTAGATATATTTAGTTTGTTTTCGTACCTAAAGCCAATGTTTTCAGACTTAACGGCTGTACAACGTATGCCGTATACGAAAATATATATCGATACATGTATGTGCAAATATATTTTTGATGCCATAGGTAAATCAAGAGTGGGCTTGTCTGATATTGCAGTCTGCGAATGATTAGCAGCCTCCACTCCTATGCTTTCGCACATAAACTCAATGTTCTTACACCTTAAGGGCTGTACACTCCAAAAAAAAGCCCGTGCCTCTGCTTTCGCGCACAACACTCGGAGAGCCAATCAGCGCAACTTACGGAGGCAGCTCAGCGAATGACGATGCCGAAACATATGTTTAGACCAAAAAACGCAGTCTGAGTTGTGACATTGGCAATGCAAAACGTCACGCTTGCATTGCTTAATGTCACAACTCAGCCTGCCTTTTTTGGTCTAAAAATATGTTTCGGCAGTGTCATTCGATGAGCTCCCTCCGTAAGTTGCGGCGATTGGCTCTCCGAGTGTTGTGCGGGAAAGCCGACACATGGGCTTTTTTAGAGTGCATAACATATATCGTATAACACTCTAAAAAAAGTCTGTGCGTCTACTTTCACGCACACCACTCGGAGAGCCAATCACCGCAACTTACGGAGGCAGCTCAGCAAATGGCACTGTCGAAACATATGTTTAGACCAAAAAACGCAGTTTGAGTTGTGACATTAAGTAATGCAAGCGTGACGTTTTGCGTTGCTTAATGTCACAACTCTGACTGCGTTTTTTGGTCTAAACATATGTTTCGGCAGTGTCATTCGCTGAGCCCCTCCGTAAGCTGCGATGATTGGCTCTCCGAGTGTTGTGCGTGAAGGTAGACTTACAGACATTTTTAAGACTGAAGAAAACATATGGACACATGTATGTCCTAACATCTTTTAAGTAGCAAGTGTGCATACATTAAGAGTGCGTGTTTGAGATTGTAGTCGGCTGGTGATTCGAAGCCTTCACTCGATTGGGAATGGGGCGTGTTCTATACCCTGTTTCACCTTATGATGTACTGCAGGAAAAGCTGCAAGCGCGAGCTCGTTGCTCTAAGGCACATTTCGGCGGCACAAGCTCTCGTGCAGCAAGGGCAGCTGCCAACGCTGAGCTCGCGCATCAAGCCTTCGCTGCGGCACAACATAAGGTGAAACGGAGTACAGGATCAGTCAAAGTTTGCAGTATTTGTGCAATCGTGTTATGCCTTCATGCGGATTAATTTTTAGTAAAACACCTTCTTAGAGCTGGAAATGGTTTCTATGCAGAGTACAGTTTTCTGTACGCGGAACGACATATACCAAACCTTTTCTTTTCGAATAATTGTTGCATTATTTCTGCTTCGGGCGTGGACCGCAATTGTTGCATAAAATAATGAAAAAATAGGATAAACCTTGTAAGTTGGCTTTAATATATGTGAAACTTTTGAACCCAGAGCGGAGTCAAGAGTTCTAACTGCTCTTACCTCCACCGCATCGAAAGACTTGCTGTGCGTCCCCATGGCCTCGCCTGAGGCCTGAGAGGAGGAGTCTCCTGCAAACTGAAGACACATCACACTTAATTCCTGCCAAAGTAAAAGAAGAGCGCAAACTCCAAAGCGCGCAGCGGGCGTATATACAATCCGTAGCGGGACGGGAGTACAGGTATACAGTGGCAGGTGGAAGAATTACGCAATAAATTCGCAGGCTGCAGAATGTGGCGACCCTGTGTGGAAGTAGTCTCACTGCATGTCCATTTATGCGTCATGTCGCCATCCTTTTGGTGACCAGATGAGCTAGACATTGTGTAGTTTAGGTTTATGTAACATTTAGTAATTCAAACTTCCTAACGTCGGGTTTCGACAATTTTGGTTGAGACATTAAGATAAATACGCGCACGAGCATCCAAAACTTTTTTTTTTTTTGCATGCATTCATGATTGCAGAAAAGGCATAAATTTTAATTTAAAAAGATGAAAAAAATTTTCTCATCTATTGTTTATTTATTGTCTGCCCTTCTGCATGTCTGACATCTTATTATCTTGCTTCTGGAAACAATGTTTATTGGTTTGTTTTCTTCACTATATTCTTATCGGGCGTCCGCAATTACAAGTCGACAGGTGTGACATGCAAGTTTTTTTACATACATTAGACGGTGAATATTGGCAATTCCGGTAGAAGTGACGCCCCCCAGCGGCAGAGACGTGACTCTTAGAAACAAGAAGATCGCGCATGCTGAAATGTGCAACGAAAACGTCCGTCGAAAAATGTTAAACTAAGGAACTAAAATTAAATGCCTACCGTTGGAGTCGGAAAAAGCTAGCCTCCAGAAGGCAAGCCATTGGCAAAATTGCTTCTAGTACGGTCAAGATTTTGCTGACATTCCATGTGGCATTCTTTTTTTTTTTTTTTTTCGTGTGTGTTTGGATTTCTTTTCTTTTTTTTTTTACTTTGGAGTGTAAAAACAGCTTATCAATTTTAACATAAATGTTATTTCATTATCTTAATATTTTGGGCGCAGCAACAGCCGCGACGCATTACGACAAGACGCAAAATACTGGATTATAACTACAGTTTCCAAGTACATACACGTAAGTCGAGTGCATGAAAGCAAGATTGAATCTCTGTGCAATTAGGGTGACTTAACCTTGCCTTCCCGCGAAATCAATTTAAAAATGCCCACGTTCTATTTTGGGCGCGATCTCTGTCAACAAAATTGATGATACATGAAATTGTTCAAAGCGTTTTGAAAAGCATTGACTCAAAATGGAAGTCCCAACAGAAATTCGAAACGGCTAATACTTTATCTCAGAGTAGAGAATAAATAAAAATCAGTGTAATTTAAATCCTGGTTTAAATATTGATTTTTAATATCAATAAATAAATTTTTGATTTTATCATAATTTAAATCAGACCATTTTTACTATCATCCTTTAAATCAGACCAGTTTTACTGTCATTATTTATATCAAACCTTCTCCGCAGAATAGGTACGGAAATATTTTTATTTACTGTTTGTTTATCATTTGAAGCTTTTCATGCGTATGCGCTTTGTATCTAAATCAAAGAGTCATCAAGAAAGAAACGTTTATAGAAGGCTGAAAAAAGGAAACAAATTGCTCTTCAGAGAAAATCGGAGCTTTGAGCTTTATTTCTATGTTCAACTTTGTTCGTCAGATATGTAATATCCTACTGCAACAAAGTCAGAAAGCAAAATAAACAAAAACTAAAAGAAAACTAATGTCCTATTGCAACAGATCAAAGCGCGAAAAAAATTAAATAACGCTTTTAACTAACTAAAGGAATCGAGCTATTTCTGTTCTAGTATGGTGGGGCTACAGCAATAGAAAAGTTGTTCATTAAACTTTCGCATATACAGTATGTATATTTTTCTTATTGTTATCGGTGATCAAACGAATTGATCAAACAATCTGCTATACTGAGAAACATCTAGTGGTAAAGAATAATATTTTCTCGGTAAAATGATTTAAATCAAAGTAGCCTGATGTAAATCAAATAAATGCGCTTTAAATCAAATAATCCGGAATTATTTTAGTCGTGTTTTTTTCACCCTTATTTATTTTTTTAACTCTAGAACATTGGATAATAAAAACGTGAAATTTTACAATTAACGACGTGTTTTTTTTATAAGACGCCAAACAAATCTCAGGAAAAAATATTTATACATTAACGTGCAATAAATTAAGATGGATAAACTTACACCGAAACAGAATTGAGATGGAAAATTCAAGCAGTCGTGTTCACAACAACCTTCGAACTTTGGCATTGTTTCAGCAACATCTTTGTAAACAAACTGATTATCAGGAACCCGCTCGGCTCTAAAGGGTTCGTTCTTGGTATAAAGTTATCTCACTTTATTACCTCCTCCTAAGCCTTCTTTATTTTTATTTTTTTTTTCGACACGTGTAATTTTTACGGTAGTACATTATTTATGTTTTCATATATATGTATATTTGAGCAATAACAGACACGAAGTAGTTGCCAAAATGAATCCTTAAACTGGTTATCACACGAAAAACTTCCAAGTGGTGTTTTTACATGAATCGTCTGCCGGTATTTAAAACCATTTGCTTGCACCCTAAGATCTTGAATTACAATCGATCGTTTCAATTCTACGACAGCAACCGGCAACATTTACTGTACACTAGAAAAGACCGCACCAATAACACTTTTTTTTTTTTTGCAAACTGTGAAGCGCAGTTTTGTAACTACCCCTTCATAAGAGATCACGGCTTCGACGTCGCATTAGTTCGTATGTATAGTCTAAAGTTACTTACGGAGTAACGTTTTGTTTGCTTTAGGAACGGAAGACAGTAAGGCCCACTATCCCCCAAAAACTCTCGAAATATGTAAACCAAGAAACAAACGCACTCTTAAATCCTTCGAAAGAGGGAAACAAAACGAGTATTCCAGAGCCTTTGCGAAAAATATTGCCGGCATTTAGAAGGAAAAAAAGGGAGGTTGACGGTACCTTGCATGCTTGAAGCCTACCAGACGCCGGAGAGGAGAAATGCCGAGCGTCGCACGTCGCCAATCTGTTTATCTTTGAGTGAGCTCTCCCTCCGTCAGCTGTGGAAAACCTCTGGCCTTGGCTTCGCCGCGACGTCATCGCTCTATAGTGTCGCTTCCCCTCGATGGGGGCGCTCCGGAAGCGCGCGTTGCCGGAGTCCGGAAACCGTGCGTATGTAGCTTTGAGGGCACATGCCAAGAGGCACGTACGGCGTGGCGTTCTCTCCTTCGCGATATAATGTAGGTTTCCTTTCGAAATGGACATCAGTTTTTTCTCAAATACCGAATTCGGGATTTTGATGCTCCGAAACGGAGTGCATTCCGGGTGCTACCGCTGATATGTTCTGCTTACGATGGACCGCAGCTGACGCTAAGAGCTGTATCCCAGCCACTCTAGCCGTGCGAACGTATCACCTGACAACGTGCCCTGAGCGTTGCTGCTCCCCTCCTGAAGGTCAGGTGACACTGGCACGGCATTGTGTTGCATAAATGACCCGTTCTTATTTTTTGGCGTTTTTTTCGTAAGGTGAAATGGAGTGTATAAAAATAGCTTAACTGGCTCGTTCACGTCAAGTCTTAAAATTAATATTTGGTGTCGACCAAACATCCGCTTGTTTTCGTAGACTTGGACGAAGCACTACTACCCTGATACTCCAGAAATCACGTTCTTGCATCTTGATGAGTTTGCATTCTCGTGCGAGTGTGCTATACTCCACCTAAGAGGCGGACTTCGACAGGATTGTTATAATTTGGGAATAAGTTATGGGAGTGAGGAACTTCCCGTTCGTATAAAAAGACATCAACCAATCAGGCGAAGTTAAAACGTGGGGGTAATTATTATATACTATTACGGGTTCTCTTCTCTTGAGAGTTATTATTCACGTACTTACTTGAATGAGCCGTGCTGAAAAGCATGGTCTTTTTCAATGCTGAAACCGCAACAACTGTTCAGGTAGCCTATTTAGCATTCAATCTGTTCCACATTTTTTTGTGTTATGTAATAGATGCCTTATGAGTCCACCTCGGAGAATCAAAATTTTGGCACCCGTTAACCTCCTTGTCAGCGATTTCAAAGACCATTGTGCAGCTATACGGTCATCATGAAATTTATTCAAAGCACCTTGATAAGCGGCGGTGTATATATACATATATATATATATATATATATATATATATATATATATATATATATATATATATATATATATATATATGTCGATCCGATAGGGTGGACCCAGGAACACACTGCGTTAGTGCGGCTGTTACGGAACATGCCGTAACATATTAACACAAACGCTGGACATTCTTGTCCCAATTTTTTTCCCTGTAAAATTCGGCCTTTTTAACGCATTTCGCACATCGTTTACCTACTAGAGGCTGGATTTCGCCTTGCCTGAACTGAATGGTGAACGTAACCCTGGAGTCGATTCTTAACGAAATACTCGAAACTTTGAGTGTGCTCGTAAGCGGGGGTTAAAGAAATCTCTACTTAGTGGTAGATTGCTGAAAATTCGCTAAAAGTGGAGGGTCTACTCTTTTCTGGCACCAGGAAAGAAAAGAGTCAATCCATATTGTTGGTGGGGTCCTCTATAGGAGCTTCAGATACTACCCTCTTAGTCTCTCATTTGACTTCAATCTAGCTTCACTCTCTTCGCGTTTAACAGAATTTATGTGAATTCACATCAGCCTTCCTATGAAATGCATCAGAAGACGACTCACGAACGTCTCGTATTCGCTGGACGAGGCCAGAAATACAGACTCGTAGCTTATAATGCAGTACGAAAACGTCAGTGCAGAATAAGTTTATTCGGAAGACTTGACCTTGCATTTGTATCTCTCGCTGTAGTCCGGGTATACGATCAAACAAAGCGCAATTTCGTTTTTTTCACCGCTGCACGAGCGGCAGCTAACCCTCGCGGTCAGTATTGCAGACGTTTAAACCGTGGTGAATAGCCCAACGACAGTTTCGCAGTCAGAAATTCATGCGCGTTTGGAGTTAAGCGCGTACCCAGTACCTATAAACTGTAGTACCGACGCGCTCAACAGTGGTGACCAGGGAAACACATGCTAAAATAGCGCACCCAACGCCGTGTGTCGGACATTGGAGTGCGGCGATAAAGTTCGGAGTGCTCGAGATGTGTACGGCAGGTGTAAATAAAAACAGGCGCCCGTCCGACGACGTAAGCGTTCCAATTTACACACCTCAAACACGGGCTCCGCGGACTATCTCGCTTCCTCTGGTGCTCAACAGAGCCAACGATAGCGACACGAGCAAAGTGAGTTCGCCTGGCGGACCGGGTTATCAACGGGGCCGTTGCACTTCGAGCCGGCACGTCGTCAATTTTGGCGACGGCGAGGTAGTTTCGAACTCTGGTTCTATGGCTGGCGGCAATAGACCTTTTCAAAGAAGTGCTCCTGATGATTCCATTTTTAGTGTTCGTACGTACACATGATATGCTCGCTTTCCGAAGCGACCAACATGCACGTACTGGGCTGAGAAGATCGCACGCTGGGCTGAGGAATTGTAATTATTGCAACGGTGCATGGACTTTTCCAAAAAAATAGCGTGTCGCCGGTGCCATCTTGCGTGTTTTTACGTATGGCCCGTGCTTTCCTCGCTTTCCGAAGCGACGAACATGCACGTTCTGGGCTGTGAATATCGCACGCTGGACTGTGATTTTTTAAACATTAGAAAGGTCTATAGTGCTTGCCCGTCACTTTGCCTTGTCAAACTTTTGTGCTATTTATTATTCTAATTATTTTCCTATACAAGTACATTACTACATGTGGTATACACACGTAGAAAAGTATATATACGGTTTGTCGGAATTTTCTTTTCGGCTAATGAAAACCGAGTTCCAAGGTGTAAAACCGTTCCATTCATTATCCATCTCCAGTGTCACTTTATGAATGTCTAAATTCTTTATGTAGAATAGTTGCAGTAGGCATATATTTACTTTTGCATTGTGTTTTGTTTCGCTACCGGACAAATTACGTACACAAGCCCCCGAGGCCTAGGGCGACTCATTATTCTGTTGTAAAACCTCTATGATGCAAATAAAGCTATTCTAATCTATTCATTTCTTTTTCCTATCAGAATTATCAATGATGGAAGCGGCTTTGGAACTTCAGCAGCAGGTTTTGTAGCAAGCGAAATATTGGTTTGGAGCAGCCACTGACGCATTTAGAGCAACCGTTAACATTTGTGAGCACGTCACTTGAAAATGAAAATGTAATTGCATCCCTAAATGAGTTCCTATCTTAAAATTACTGAGGGTCCTTCTTTGATACTGAAGCATATTACTTATTATCTTTTGTAGTAAGAACAGACAGGACGCAAAAATAGCACACCGCCTTTTTTGATGGAAACAAGGCTCAGGGCGGATGTAGGTTCCATTTTCAATAGTTATTTAAAAGAGCAATGTCTTATACGCATATCTTGTGCCATTTCATGCCAATTATTTAGCGGTGCAATGTTTTGCCCGTGCAATAAAATGTTTTATAGACCCGTCGCTATGTGAAGCTTTCATTTTAGCTAAGACACGCGTATGTAACTAAAAGCGCGTTACGACGGTCGATCCACGCGCGTTGCCTTCGCTTCGACGCGCGCCCCCGATGGCCTTCCTTTGCGACGTCACGAGAAGAGCGCTACGGCCTTCTTCTCTAGGAGGTGTTGTACGATCTATCCCCTGTAGCTTCGGCTGCACTGCACGAATTTAGTGACACGGAGCATGGCACTCCGGTGCAAAGCGGCGAAGCTCGACGCGCGCGCACTGGTGGGAGGCCGTGAAGGTTGACGCGAGCGGCGCATGTGCCACGGAGAACTCTAACCATGACATGGAAGGATATGGCAGACATAATATTCATTTGATAGGATGACAGGAGTAGAAGATACTGGTCCTGTCTTGTTACAGTAGCTGTCATCCCACTATTTTGCAAATTTTTCTCGCGACTCTCAGCTCCTGACATCGCCGGCATCGTCCGGAAATTCAGACAATGACAGCGCTGTTGACGAGCAATTTCTACACCTCGCTCCACCTCCAGTCAAAGCGCGGGCTACTCTACGAGCCCAATCAAACGGTGTCAAAAGCGTGACATCGTGGCATTCGTCGTCAATATGTGCGTGCCCCTTCATCGGCTAAAACAAAAAGAAATAAAAAAATCACGTTGCGTTTATATAGGTAGAGATTTATTTAATCTAAATCAAATTAATGCGATTTTGGATCGCTCTAGCTAAAAAAAAAAAAAGAGCTAGTCTTTATTGCTAGTTATGAATATATTATAGCGCAAAACGACGACGAAGGAAAAATGAGGGAGACAGGAAAGAGCGCTAACTGGCAACTGACGTTTAACACTCCCGAAAGAGAGTTATTATAAACTTGCGTGTACTCTCTTTCGGGAATATCGAGCGTCAGTTGTCAGTTAGCGCTTTTCCTGTCTCCCTCGTTTTTCCTTCCTCGTCGTTTCGCACCATAATATATTAATATGTGCAACCAACAAGCCCGCCAGATGATCTTAAAGCAGTTTCTTTATTACTAGATCTTTGAATTCAACACGGAAAAAAGTTGTCCTGCAAATTTAAAGCGCAGTCTAATTAACCACATTTTATTCATTTAAGGCTGCGGTCCCACGGCGGCCATGACATATGACGCTATCCGCACGTTCTCGAAATGCGATCGTGGCGTGTTCAAGCTTGGTAAAATTATGTGTTATATATCATCTTGTAGTGTACAACATTATCTTTTATCTGATGTAGGATTTGTTTTCTTAGTGCAAAAAGCTAATTCAGAGGGCACCCGCGAACATTGACCTTTTCGGCAAAACATGGTTTCGTAGTACAGTTGTACAGGGTGCACTATTGGAGCAATTTCTTTTAAATTTTAGAATGCTATAGAAGAAGAGTGCGTTCATTGTCAACGGAGGCCCTTTTTTCGTTTTTTATTTTATTTTGACAGATATTTACTTTAGAAAAATTGACTTTGCGGAAGCACTTCAGTCGCGAAGTTTTGGGCGCCTACTCGGTCATTTTATTTGAAACTTTTTATATCAGTTTGTAATTATGGTCGAAAT